TTTGTAAGGGAACAGCTAGCCTGCAATACTGTCCAGGTCCAGCTGCTGGTGCTTTGTAAATTATTTATCAAGTGTGGCTATAAATTAGAGAAGACTGGAGGGCCTGTGGGCCCAATCGTGGCTATTCTCTTTATTAATGATTTTTCAGGAATTTTCTGTTGTAAGGGAGGGTTCTTGAGTATTCTCTTGTACACAGAAGTTTACTAATGCTTCAGCTGTTTTACAGACTGCTCTTACCTAGATTCTATAAAAAGTACTATGCTAGGAAATGTTAGTGTAGTTCATCATCTATCTAAAATTCAATTTACCTTTCATATCGTCATAAACACTGGATCGAATTCTTCTTCCTGAGAACTTGAACCTACCTTCTCTCCTGGTCATCTACAAAACTTCTTTTGCTAGTGGTTGTACCAAGTGTCAGAAATTCTTGTGTGACTACTTCATTAAAAATCTAGGTGCTCTTACGGCCCTATATTGCATCGAAATACTACCCAAGCTGTCAGCCTTACTCTCCTCATTAAAATAACGTGGCCATCTTCATGGGTGCCAGATGGGAAATGCAAGATCATTTGGGAATACTAGCGCGTTTGTGTACCCTGGAATGAGCCGTCTTTTACACACAACCTCAACTACCACTGTTGAAATCTACACTTTGCCAGTCATCAACCTCTTTCTCTCTCACGCATGCATACAAAATTGGGTGACAGAGACCAAAACTTTTGCTCATATTTTTTTAATGTATCACAATGAGCAGGAAACATACTTGATGAAATATTTTCAAAGGAGTATATTCAATTACCATCTACAATCAACTTAACTATGACAACAAAGTTTTTGTGACAAATTTTTTTTTTTTTTCAGTTTGAAAGTTCCATGTGGTTCTGTTTGTTAGTCTCCATGTATTTTGGTACAGTTCGAGATCAGCATTGTTACAGTAACAAAAAAGCTAACAAGACTACATTATAGAAAAAACACCAAGAACATCATTTTTGGTTTCACTTGCTCTATTTTTTTTGTTTTTTTTTTTTTGTTTTTTTGTTTTTTTGTACATTGCAAAGGCTGTTCATATACCTCTTCACCTCAGGGTCATGTTCATTTATGCTTTCTTTCCTACCCAGACTTGCCCCCCTCCCCCCCAAGAAAGTAAACAAACAAACAAAAGAAATTAGTCAAAGCTTTGTTTCACAGTGGGCAGTATCTCAGCGCCAACAACCAACTCAATTTATGCTTCTATTTAAAATGTTTTAATTTAATTTATTATTTAAAAAAAATATATGTCCATGAATCAAGTGCACTGGCTTGGGTCACTGCCTCTCTCTCCTGCAACTTCCTGCCATGCCTGATAAGCTCAGGTTTAAACACATGCCGTCTGTTTTACTTTATTTTCAATCGTGTAAAACTTTGGCCACATTCATCTCTCTAAATAACTTTTAATTTTTAAAAAAACTTCCTAGATTAAAGTTTTCCGCGTGTGTGTGTATGTGTGTGTGCGTTTCCTTCTTAAGTTTCTTTTTGGAAGGATGGAGGAAGGATGAATGAAATGAATTCCCATTCTGTGGGGCCCTTTGGTGCTGTGACTCAGCACAAGCCCACACTGTAGAGTATTTGACAGAAAAAAATACCAACAAAGTGTTAATGGAAGTGAAGAATTAATTTAAAAAGTGAGTTGAGATAGTCTCCTCAGCTACCTACTATGCAGCAGGCGGGAGTAAATTCTCTGAGAGACCAACCTACAATTGAGTAGTGAATTCAGGCTGTGTGAGTGAGACTGGTCATTGCCAGGGTGGAGCTGAGCCCACAGACATCAAACCAGCTCACGTCTGACCTCTAACTTTTACCATCACTGACTGCTTTGCTACTTCTGGGTTAATGCTGACAATTTTTTCTTTTCTGAATGAACATGTATGTGGGCGGTATAGTTGTAGAGGAAGCATTTAGTGTGCAACCCACTCCAGGTTGGAACAATCACATAACCCCTCTGCGGAACAATAGTGGGTGGAAGCATACTCTGCCAATCTACCCAGCCACCCTGCTGTTGCCAAACACACCCACAGGTCAAGGCGTGGCATAACAAAACAAATACCTACAGTCACTCTGCCTCACAGAGGGGGTATGGCATAGTAGCTCAAAGAAAGAAAAGAAGAAAAAAAAAAAAAAAAACCATTGGGGGAAGGGTGGCAAAATTACAAGGAAATGAACTTAAAGTTGAGGGGGGAAGAAACGGTTTAGAAATTGCACTATTACCAAGCAATAATCATTTTGAAAAACCAAGTTTTCAGAAAAGACCTAGCAAAATTTGACAGATAAAACTAGTGTTAAATTGTTAATTGGTATCACATAGAGAACCAAAAACAAAAACAAACCTTTTTTTTTTCTATATGATACAGACACAGTAACATACAACAGTTAAATGGCAAAAAATATATATATATATATTTCATAGAGTTACAAACAAGATAAAATAATGGAAAACAAAAAACTGTACAACTTTAAAATTTAAAAATGTTCATCTCAAACACAGGGAGAAATACAAGAATTCTTGTTAAAAGAAAATAGCTTGTTAAAACAGCAAATGTTTTGCGTACTTGTTTTTGACACCGTATGCTACAACTGGATACTGGTATGAATAGTTAGATGGTATTCTTTAGTATTTCTACTTTAAAAAACAAAAAAAAAAAAAAAAAGGAATTTGCACTGTGCATCAGCCTAGTTAGAAATATGTACAACAGTTCAGGATCTACTCTCTCGTTAAACTAGAAACAAATTCATAAAAATAAAATAGTCCCGGCTAAAAAAGAAAAAGACAGAAAGGAAAAAAAGAAAATCCGTTTTCAGATCTTGGAATGCTCCAGTCTTTTGCAAAGTCGATGAGTGGCTTCAGCACTGGGGAAAAGAAGCCCGGAAGGTGACCAATGGAACCTGCATTCACAGTCTTCAAAGTTCCCTTTTGAAACATAAGGAAGAGAATGGAGGGAGGAGGAGGAGTCACACTGGGGGCGAGGGGAGATTGCTTCTGTGGATGTTTGCGTGTGAAAGTGAAAACAGCAAAGCATCTATTTGTCTCCAGAATCTACACTTTAGCAGCACAAAGTTTTCCTTTCAAAAGTTCCAACCGTGTTTTAAGATGAGAGAGGTGTGTGTGGGTGGTGGGTGTGAGAGAGGAATGCGGGGGCGAAGGTGACACGAGTGCCTCACGGTCCCTGCCTTTTCTGCTCTCTGTCCATTGCTATCTGCTGCTTTGTTGGCTGCGCTCGGGATCTCTCGCCGCTCAGACTGCCTGACAAAACTTTGAAGTAAAAAATGTGTCTTTTGGTATATGGAAGTGTCATTAACAGTCGCCCCTCTGCTTGCAGAAGGGGCATCTAACAACCTGGGAATCTTTTGTTTTACTACTTCTTAAACTTAAGTCTCGTTTGTTTGAATCGGAAACAAATTCTCAAGTAACAAGAACCCTTTCCCTTTTTTCCTGCGTCAGCAGTGAAAGGGTGTGTCTTTGGATTTTATTTAAAGCATGAAATTTATTTTTCTGAGAGAGAAAACAAAACAAAACAAAAACCAAACCCCTAACCAAGAACTTTTTTTAGAAAAGCAAAGCACACAGTCCAATTACACAAACACATCCTTTTGTTTAGAAAAAGGATATTGGTAGCTACCAGACGAGGGGGAAAAGAAGGGGCGAAAGGAAAGCCCAGGGGAGGGCAAATAAAAAAATAAATGCACGAGGCTAACAGACGTAGGTAACTAGAATTATATGCCTTTAAAAAGTTTCAACTCCCCAACCAAAAATAATCTGTGAGGATCCTAATGACCCCTAGAACCCTTTGAAATTCTTTCTTTAGCTTTATAAAATAATTTTGCAGCTACCCTCCAAGAAATGAAGGCAGCTGCCTTAAGTGGGAGATTACAGGAGGGGAGACGGGAGGAGGAGAGAGAGAGAGGAATTAAGGGACAAAGGGGAGAAAAGCTTAGGCGAATCAACGGATTGCAATCTATCTGCTAGGGATGAACAAGACAACATCAAATGAGGAGCTGTCAGCTGGACCATACAAAAAGCTAAATGTACACAAAAGGTTTTTTTTTTTCCTTTTAAATCTACCATACTGCTTCAGTTCATTTCCAATGCAACAATCTACTCAACACCAAAAATGGTCATATCTATCATAAATACAGAAAGTCAGTTTTTAAAACTTATTTTTTAAGCTACAAGTCCTCAACACTCTTTGTGTGTGGGTTTTTTTTTTTTCTCTGAAAGTGGGAGTGCTTAACTTTTCCCCTTGAAATTGGCTTCAGCAGAAAAGCTATCCTTGAAATCCCCAGAAAGCTAAAGCAGTTCACATTGTTTTTCTCGAATACTTTCTGCCCATTTTTAAATTAACAAAACAAAACAAAAAAAAATCTTTTCTGGAACAAAAAAAAAAAAACTGAAAAATAATATATATATAAAACAATGATTCTGAAAACAGAACAAAGTGTGAGCGATTGACCTGAGAATAAAAAGACATTACATTTCTTTTTTTTTTTTTCTTTTAGCAAGCCATTGGTATCTGAATGCTAAGATAGCAAGGAATTTAAAACTGTGACAAGGTGGACTGCTTTCCCATACAGTGCATGCCGGGCTCCTCTGTGCTATCAACGTGGGGCGTTTATTGAAAGGGGGCAAATATACAAGGGGCTTAAGCTCCAAAGACATCGGGGAGGCCCTGCGGACTTGTGTTTCCCAGACCGATAGTACCTTCAAAAGGACGCGCTGGAACGGGGTTAAGGTTGGTTTGTTGGTTGGTTTTTCAATATTAAAAGAAGGAAAGAAAGACGAGAATGTGAAATCACCGGCATAGACAGGTATATGGGAAAACAACCCACGCTTTTTCTTTTTTTTCTTTTTTTTTCTTTTTTTTTTTTTTGGTTAGAAGCTTTGGAATTGCAGTTAGTCTATTTTTTGAAATTGGTTTGTTATTAATTTTTTATTTAAATTCATTTGTGTGTACTGTTCATCTTCAAAGCTTACAATCTGAAGTGTCCGTCCCTAGGGTCAGACCACTGTCCTGGGGCAGCCGGGGTCCGCGGGGCCCCCCGCCGGGCTCGCCGGTCCGTCGGACTTTTGGCTGAGATCCGTGTCAGACTCCTCCGAATAGTCGTCTGTTGGCATCGAGGGCTGAACCCCTGAGGTGCTGCATGAACTTGAGGTAACCGTTGAAGATGAGGAGAGAGGAGGAAAAGAAGGGGGCTTCGCGGCCGAAGCCCGGGGGCCCACTGGCGGCCAGGACTTCCGGGGGCGGGGGGCGCGGCGGGCGGGGGCGCGGGGGCCGGCGCGGGCGGGGGGCTGTCGTTGGAGTGAGCGGCAGACTGCGAGGTAGATGCGGTGCTAGGATCGGGGAAGCAGGCAGAGTGAGGTAATAAACTAGGGTGCTCTTTGGCGTTTCTTGCTGCTCTCGTGATTGTTCTGTGTTTGTGCAAGGCCGACTCGAGATGTTGACTCAGAGCTTCCTCCCCGCAGAGCGCGCTCTCGCACGCCAGGCAGTGGTACGCGCCGCCCCCGCCCGCGCCCCCGCCCGCGCCGCCGCCCGCGGGCACGCGAAGCACCATCTCTTGCAGGTTCGCCGCCGGCTGGCCGAAGCAGCAGAGGGACTGCAGGTGGCTCCTGGCCGCCTCCTCGTCCCCGAAGCCCGCCTGGCACTTGCGGCAGACCAACTTGTACTGCACCTTTGGAACAATGAAGGGGTCGTAGAGGGAGTCCGCACTTTTGCTTTCTGCTTCTGGCTCTTCGGGGGGTTTCGGCAGGAGGGGGGACACCTCACGGGGTGCGTTTTTCTGCTCTTCTGGTTTGGGGGATTCTTTGGCAGGGTCTTTGTCTGGGGAGGCAGCCCCCTGGGGGACTGGGGTTTGGCTTGCTTTGGGCTGCTGCTGCTGCTGCTGCTGCTGCTGCTGCTGCTGCTGCTGCACTTTTTGCTGCTGCTGCTGCTGCTGTAGTTGCCGCTGCTGCTGCTGCTGGATCGCCTCCTGCAGACTCTGCTGGTATTGCTGGTACTGCTGCAGTAGGGAGCCCGGGGACAGCCCCATTAGGGCCTGTGACAGCGCAGGGCTGTAGGGAAACAGGCCTTCCATGCCATACATAGGCTGCAGGTACCCGCTCTGCAGGGCGCCAGGGATCTGGGGGGCGTAATAAGGAGAGAAGCCTGGTACAAAGTAAGGAAGGAACTGGCTCGTGAGCAATGCTGTGGGGTCCGAAGTCAAGGCTGCCTGCAGGGCCTGCAGCTGTGCAGGGTCCACCGCATATTCCATGGCGGGCAGCGGGGCTGAGATCGTGGCTGCAGCCGCCGTGGGAGCCTCTCCTTTCTCCTTCTTGGGGACAGGCAGGGCTTCCCCTTTCCCTTTGTGTGCCTTTTCCTTCTCCTTTACCTTCTCGCCGTCTTTGTCCTTGCGTGGCTGCTGTTGTGGGAGCTGTGGCGTGGCTGGCGGCTGGGCTACTGGCGGGGGCGGCTGCACCTGTGGCTGCTGCTGAGGCTGGGGGGGTTGCTGAGGGGCCATCGCCATGGTGGCTTGTGCTGGGGTTGGGGAGCTCAGCGACGCTGAGGACGGTTTATTTGGTAATCCAGAGGTGGGGAGGCCAGGGGAAGGAACTGTTGTGCTGGGCAGACCCATCAGGTTCGGTTTGGGAGACGTTAAAGCTGAAAGGAACGGAGACAGAGAAATCACAAGTCATTCTGAGGTGGTGAGGTTGAAGCTTAGGACACTTTTACCTGTGTCACTGGCACAGAGTCTGAGATCTCAAGGGGTAAGCTTGAGGCATCCTCTCAAAACCAGTGTTTGTTTCAATGGAGGCCTCCTACTGGATTCAGGATCAGACAGCCTTGGATTCGTAATAGGACCCAGTTCTGGGTCAGGTCCCATACTTCCTCTCTCGGCTAAAAACCACCACCAATACCTTCTTTTCCAAAATGCCACACCCCTGGTTCATACTGTCTTTGCTGCGCTCCCAGCTACCATCCATTCTGCCCAATGACATCAGCCTCAAAACGAGCTCTTCCACTTGGGAACTCAAGGCCTTCGTCAAAGTTCCATGGAAATAGCACAGCAAAGAGGCCTCACCGGAAGTTGTCCAGAGGAGGGAGGCAACGGGAAGAGAGAGCAAGATACCCGCCAGACCCCAAGGCCACGAGAACAAAAATAACAGGTCCCACACGCGCTCCTCTCCGGCCTCCACTGCTGCAGATGATTGGGTCCAGTGGGAAGGCAGAGGGTGGAGAAGGAACGGGAAGGAATTAAAACCGTCCTTTCAGGGAAAACTGCCCCACTGCCTTGGCTCAGCTGGTATCTACTTCAAGAGATCTTTTGGGAAATTTAACCAACCAGGAATAAGATTCTGGACTTTGCTGGGAACGAGCATTCTTCTCTATCTGCCCACCCGGGAAGCTAGGGCTGTGATGCTTGAAAAGCAGTCACGGGAAGAGGAGCAAAGCAGTGTCAGAAATGGGAAAGCCCAAGGTGCTGGCACCACCAATTCCTAAGCAGCAATCTACCCCTGGTACAACTGCTTATGGGGAGGCAAAGGACTTTTGATTAGGTGGGTGACTAGGCCCACGTGGGGGTACAGTTCTACTGTCACACTTAGGCCTAGTCTATTATTACCTGAAAAGCCTCACCAAGCTCGCAGCCTAATAGCCTCCTTCACCCACAGCTATCTCCCCGTCTCTGTTCCGTGGTGGTGGAAGACAGTCTGCAGGTGCATTAAGCAAGGAGGTGGGATGGGACAGGGTGTGCTGACTCAGGAATTGAGTACAATTCACGGGCAGCAGGCTTTAGACATCACACCCAAAACACTGGGCAGTACTCAAGCCTTTATTTTAGAGGACATCAAAATGTAAAATCAGAAATCCTAGCGTCCCTTGCTAGTTCATCTGGACCACCTCCTGCCAGAAAGCTGGATACGGAGCACCCTGACACGGTCTTGTGAGGAACACACTCTGAAGCCCAGACCTGGGTGAAGACAATGCTGGCTACGGTGGTGCATGTTCATGGGATCATTAAGCAGCATTTTCAAACCCTCAAATTTCAGATGACGAGAGAACAAGGTTGCCTCAAATTGCCAATCCCAGAAAAACCACCATTAGCATTTGGACAGCCAAGGGTGACGCATCTCTCAGAATCACCTGGCTGTTGCTAATTTTTACTCTTCCAGTACAGAAAGGATAGCGGAGATGAAGGCATCCAGTTTCCTCAATGCACATGAGACTGATAACAGAAAATCTGTCTCAACTCGGAAATATTTATAAAGGCCCATTGATTAAACTGGCACAAACAAGGCAGAGAGGGTGGGTTACGAATTCTAAACTTGGGTTATAGCTCTTGCCAGTTTTTTGCGACGGGCCTGCTCCACTTCTCAGGTTTGAGTTAGAGCCAAAACAGTAGTGGGGCCAGGAAGGAGTGTCTGGAGGTTTCTGCAGCCTGGTCGCCAGGCTTTCTGGAATAAGTTCCAGGTCAGAAGGCCTTAAGCTGACTTTCTCGATCTGGAACTTACATTCCACATAAGACAGTCAAATTTTAAGAAACATTTACTGAACCCCTGCTAGCTCAGTACATCATCCAGAATAATTTCAGGGCCTTGTTTTCTCGTTTTCAAGATCAGAACCAAGAATGGCATCTCTGGAGTCAGACTGACACAATGGCTGATCCCACATTTGCCCATGTGACCCTGGATCCATTAGGTGACCTCTGGGGAATTCAGCTTTACACAGTAGCTGGTTGCAGGGAGTAAATGCAAGATCATATGGGAAGGGCTTACTATTTATATTTAGCCTGACGTATAACAGATGCTCAATATACAGCTTCCCTCCCATGCCAAATCCAGTGCTTCTGTGAGCTGTGGTACAGTCAGGTGGGCGCCTTGAGTAATTAAGAGCATATCTTTCTATCTCAAGTCCACTTTAAGTGGTCAGAACCTGAGTAGCACTAAACATATACCTGTTGACTGACTGGCTCATATTGGGTGTTGTGGAAGGAGCACATAGCACTGGGAGCCCGGAGGCCTGGGTGGGAGCTCTGGCTCCTACCCTAGCTTGCGGAATGGTCTTGACCTCTCTGGGCCTCAGTTTTCTCATCTGTAAAACAAGGGGAATAGATCAGACATTCTGATTCTAATTTTTTCACATTACGAAATGTTGGGCCTTCCCAAGCCCCTCTGCCAAGGTCCTGGGCTGCAAGGGTAATTCAGCGTCTGGCCGCTTTCCACAGCTTCTCTCCTGGCATGTGTTTAGCTGGCTTTAGCATCATTCTGTGACATTAGTTGCCAATATATATAAGCCATGACTTCTACATCTTAATACTTCCTTTTCTTGCTCTTCTCTTTGGATAACAAACTGGGACCCAGGAATGCTGTAGCCTCGTGTTCTGTAAATACTGCCAAAATTACAAAACTTAGAATTAATTCAACCAGAAACCAGAACTACCCTGGAAAGCAGCAGGCATGCTTCCACCCCCGGGCAAGGGACACACTGGAGCACAAAGAGGCACTCCGTAGGGGTGGTGAATGTGCTGCTCAGTGCAGGCCGAAGGGAGAACTCGCTGATCTACACCCAACCCTCACGACGTCCTGGAGGTGAAGGCTCCTTGAGGAAAGACAGCTAGACCCAGAAGACTGGTGAGCACAGAGCAGGAGAAACGAGAGTGGTACCCAGAAGAACTGGGAAACTCCCTCTTTGGTGGGGCAATAGTACAAGTGTATCACTCTAAAACAGAGGGCCCGGGGAGGAGAAACGGTGATGGGCAAAAGGAAATAAAGGCAAGGGTAATTGCAGAACCCTAAAAGTGACCATTAACATTTATTTTTTTGGCCTGGAGGACAAACACGTCAAAATCCCAAGCTAATCACATACACAGGCATGCTCATCAGGAACTAGCAGTCTTGCTGTCGTAGCTAGAAGAGAAGCCCAGGCCTAAGGGTGTACCACACGAGGACTTCCTCCTCATAGCACTTCTACTGCCAGAGTTGCCCTCTAAAGTGGGGGGTGGGGGCGCCTAGGGACTCAAATGGGGGGTTCAATAGTTGACTTAAATTTTCCATAGGGCACAATTAAGAATTAGCTGGCTTGTTCCAGTGTCTTATGGTTTCAACAAGTGTCAAGAGGGGCTCAAGATTTCCACAGGGACCGAATGGAAAGGTCTAGGATGGAAATCTTTTTCTTGAGAC